GGTATACGGTCCCCTCACCCGATACCCTAAGGAGGTACAGCCTCCGGACTCAGCGTAACCTACATACAGGTCTCTTTGATACCTGAGGAGGTACAGCCTCCTATCTTGGCGGGACTTACACGTCTACCGCTATCCCAGAGTCCTCCGGCTGGGACCTAGGGGAGGCTATCTGACCCACCGCTGGCCCGGTGGGTCCTGACCACTGGGTATGCCGAGCCTTAGCCCTCAGAAGGGCTGGAAGGCTTGTCCACGGTCCTAGCTAGTCTTCAGCCCGGGCTTCGGTCTTCGTGTAGGGAGAGAACTACCCGCGCTCTGCGCGGTCACCCTTCTTATACTCGTTTGTGGCCAGGTACAACCAATCCCACATTCCCACGTGGAACTGGCTGATTGGTTCTCCCCAAACTGTGGCTACGATCCACTTCACCTCGTCTGACCCCAACCGTTGTACCCAGAGGTAACACTGCATTGCCCCCTTGATACCTGGTGGCAATGCAGGTTACCGAACAGTGCGTGGTTAATACCTCTACACAGGTAACAAGCTGAGATTAGGAGCACTCCCTTTAAGAGTGTGCTCCTAATCTCAGCTCGTTACCTGTATAAAAGACACCTGGGAGCCAGAAATCTTTCTGATTGAGAGGGGGTCAAATACTTATTTCCCTCATTAAAATGCAAATCAATTTCTAAAAAAATTGACATGCGTTTTTCTGGATTTTTTGTTGTTATTCTCTCTCACTGTTCAAATAAACCTTCCATTAAAATTATAGACTGATCATGTCTTTGTCAGTGGGCAAACGTACAAAATCAGCAGGGGATCAAATACTTTTTTTCCCTCACTGTATATGATTCGATGCGTAGTGTCTGCATCCTATATGGTCAAAGCTACCATCTCAATGGTGAATTCATCATTGCACAGAATAAGACGCAACGTGTTAGCGAGCGCCTATTAAGGTAAGCGTCGCTCGCAAGGGGTGTGTGTGGCCAGCGCCATGCCTGGTTGTCTTTGTATCCCAAATGTCAATATTGACGCACGATTGCGAATACTCATTTGAGGCCGAGTTAACCTTTCGCAAGGCCCTTGTTTCTACGAAACAATTGCCACAAACACACGTGCCAAACCACACGCGTAATTTCCTGTAAAGTGTACAATGACACGTTTCATTCCAATGGACTAAACGTTCAATGCTTTATTATTAAAACAGAAGCTCTGGTGTCATAACATTTCCATGAATCGAAAGTAACTCCAACCAAATGGGAAGCCCGTGCTCTTTGTATAATACAGTGTTGCTCTGCTTCTACTCGTCAGCTGCAGCGCACCCTGAAGATCCATGAGATTGGGCGACGTATTGCTCCGACTAAATTGGTTATTGCAAAGTTGGACTGCATGTGTGCCTGCTTGCAAGCTACGCATTAATGCTTTCCTTGCGCTGACATTTCAAAACTTCAGGGCCACCCACCGAACGGAGAGGCCGTCATTTTGAGATGAAAGTCGCTGTGAATTATTGAACGTATCAGATATCACGTGTTTGGAGGACACATTACATTGTGTTCAGTTTTCCAAGTTCTCCCTCCCCCTCTTTCTGTCATTCCACACTCCTCTTGTCCTTTTTTTCTGCAAGCTCAGCTCTCCCCGTGCTTGCTCGCTGCATCACTTATTCACTCTCCCTATTGTATACTCGAGGCACCTATTAGCCCACAAAGCACCTTTGCCTGTGCTGAGTTCTCCCAAAGATCGGCGCTTGTTTTAATCCACGTGTCCTCAAAACGCACCTACCCTGCCAGATGACGCGGCGGCGACATCACCGACGTTTCGTGCCCAACGGCCGCAGCTGTATCAGGGAGCAAATGACTACAGGATGAATTGTGAATGGGTCACCTTGGACATAGGTGAGTACTGTACAGTGCAATTGTATTCGCAAATCGGCAGATTGTGTGCGATGGGCTTAAAGTGCGGGCACTCGCACAACCTCCAAAGGACGTGTTTGCGGCTTGGGAAGAATTGGCCGAGTGCCATCTCGAAAGGACTGCTGTGGAGCTCGCTCAAGTCGAGGCCCTTCCGCCAACATCGGAGTGCGGCCAGCAATAGGCGGGGTTACGCCTTTAGCTCGCAGCTCACATGTGCGAGGAGCGAGTAGCTGAAATGGTCAGCGACGTCACGACGATGAATGAATACCTCGCTTACGATGACGACGCGTTAGGCACCTCACACTGCCGAAGCTGTCGCCTCAATCCACTTGTGGGGTTTTTTTTTACAAACGAACCAAAAAATAATAATTTAAGAAGTCGGAAAAGCGCACACACGCACGCGCCGATGGCAAATTTGGCCTTAATCAAAGCCGTTCGCCTGAACAGCTTCACCCCTGTGCGTCTTCCTCCCTTTTTTTTCCACCACTTGAAAAATCCCCTTGTATTTGTTTAAGCCACAAGGGAACGAACGGGGGGCTCTTGGCGTGAGTCCCGGCAGAAAAGCATTCATCACAGAAGGAGCCGGACACGACTTGTAAACCAAATTGGGCTAAAATCACCATGAAATTACTGTCCTTGACACGCCACGTTTAACTGTGCGCAGACACGGCGGGCACGGTTGCTTTCAAAAAGTTTTCACGCTCTCTTTAACCCCCTTCTGCTGCCATGAGCAGAATCACGCAATCCCGTCGCGGCGAGCAATTGAGGGATATTGATGCCGCAGCGCATTGGCCAAATTGTTTGTGTGAAGTAGAACATTGTTTGAAACCCAAGCAACCTTGTATATATTCGTATAAGACTTCACAGTTGTTGCCTTTAAACATTACCCTGGATACATCCCTTCTTAATTCGGCTTTATTTCATTTGTTTTTATGAGCACATACCATATACAGCGAAGGCGAGCAGCAGAGTCCCGCAGCCGTGAAGCGGGTTGTGTAATTTATTGCGATATTTCGACCTGGTGCCTTTATATATACATACAAAAAAAACTTGGAATGAAGGGCCCGGAATGGAATCGATTAAGCGAAGGTTTGCGAATTCTCGTGAGGTTTTTTTTAACGCAACTCTTGCAACATTCGAGCCTCCGTAAGCGCGTGGCTTTATGTTGAGTCTTCATGCGCGTCTGGCACAGTCCCATCACCTCTGTATGTGGAGGGGGAAAAACAGCAACCGACAACCGGACATTAACGCCCAATACTAAAAACAATGGTAATCAGACATGATCAATCCACTGCTGGACGGAGTCACCAGACATGATCAATCCACTGCTAGACGGAGTCACCAGACATGATCAATCCACTGCTAGACGGAGTCACCAGACATGATCAATCCACCGCTGGACGGAGTCACCAGACATGATAAATCTACCGCTGGACGGAGTCACCAGACATGATAAATCTACCGCTGGATAGTCATCAGACATGATAAATCTACCGCTGGATAGTCATCAGACATGATAAATCTACCGCTGGATAGTCATCAGACATGATCAATTCACTGCTGGATGGCAGCCTCCAAAAGCCGTCACCATCCCTCATCATGGTCTTGCGATGCTATAGTCCACCCGGCGCCAGCACAGAGCTGATCACATTGCTCCATCTCCGCGGTGTGCGGTTTCCTCCTCTGGATTTTTGGTACAATTGTAATTGCGTCCTGCTCAAAGCCCACATATAGAACAATAAAAACACTCAACGAATTCTCTACATTGTTTCTGTGTCCTTAAAAAAAGCAACATCGTCTGCGTGCCACGTATTGCTTAGTGACGATGTTATCCCCTTGTCTTCCTAGCAGATTCATTTATCCATTGGGAGCATCTGAAAGTGAAAACTATTCTTTCACCTCCCATTCGCGTGTAACACCACCATGCTCTGACACCTGTCAATCGTGGCCATGAAATACGTTACGTCTGCACTCAGCTTACAGCAACTGCAGAAGTCCGTGGCAAGTAAGCGTTGCAGGTATGATGAGGCGAAGAGATTTCGCTGGGTTGGACTTTCACGCACGATGGAGAAAGGCCGGCTACTGAGACAGACGGTTTGGTGCGGTATCCACGAGTCCAGTCAACCCAACACGGAAGACCTGCGAGCAGAAGCCTAGGGCACTGTTAGGGCCGCTCGTGGAGTTCCTGGGGGGTCTTACTCCAACGGCATCAATCGCAAGATCTGGCAGATGGGCAGAAAGCGTTGGCGAGTCGTGGTGCCACTTCTCCTTGACTCTGCTTCATACGCGCATGTGACTGGCGGCTGCCACAGCGAGGCCATCACCTTTGCTGCCGCCTTACGAACGTCGAGACAGAAGCTCGCAAGGGGAAAGCCGAGATATTTTCACAGTCACCGTAGCCAATGTTTGTTGTTGTCTTTGTATGCGTACATGAAAGCACATTGCATTATACGCGTAACTGATCAGCACTGTGAAGTTGGGCCAAATAACCCCCATGAGTGAAATGGTATGGGGGGGAGGGAGGAGGCCTTCATCCAGCTGTGAAACGGCAAAAGGGGACATACATTTATACGAGCATTCTATTGCATTAATTGTAGGCACACCACACACGGTATAGTTACACACAAGTGTTAAGCTCTTGAAGGTAGAGATCCACATGTTCTACACCCTGCTTGCATGAGCCAATTATTTAGAACTGCAGGTGATGCCCACAATAGGTGGGCTAAGTATAATGATAAGTCATTACACGGATAAGCCTTGACAGGTCTCAAGACCCACATCCAGGTGGGTGCAACACCGTCAGGGGCGCCACGGTGGTGTGATGTGATCTTCCTCGCCTGGTATGCAGGAGGTCAAGGGTTTGATCCCGACCCTGATGCCTGCTGTATATTTGGAGTTTGCATGTTCTCTAAACGTGGTTGTTGTGGATTTTTCTCCAGGTCCTCCGGTGTTTCTCTCCTCCACATTTAGAAACACGCGACGCTTTCCGGAGTAAACAAGCGTAGTAGTAGTAGTAATAATAATACTATGAGAATGAACACTGACGTACACTATCTGCCATAGGGACTTACACTGAAAAGACGAAGTGGTTTATGCCGTTGTCACGAATGATAACAATAACCAATGGGTTTATTTTGACATTGATTCGCACGATACATACATGGGCATCAACAACAGGCCAAACGGACAATAATAAAGGATTGGCAAATTATGCTGGAGTCTTGATGCATCTCAACGAAGCCTGAAGGCGCTTACAATCCCAGGATTATCGCCGCGGACATTCAAGCGCCGTCAAACAAGAAGCGTTGCAACACAGACCAACCCATAAGGCAACACGCGATTTCAGCCTGCCAGACTGCAAAGCCACTTTGATAATATGCCCGTTCCTTACACACGTCAGCAACCGCACACGACCACTCGTGTCATGCATCGGCCTTTTTCCAAAGCACGCCCGTGTTCGGATCTGTAAATAATTTCACACAACGAAATGCCCAGCGGTGCACGCATGTCGCGATACCCTGCCATGTGTGTAGATTGTTCAGCATTGATCACAAGCAGCGAGACTACTCTTTGAAATAAAATATATGGAGTTATGCCCACACTTTAACCCACCACCAGTGATCCACCACAACCATTTACCAACCACGTGACTCCCCTGTGGGTAGATATTTATTCCAAAATGACCCTGCCTACTTGTTTGGCTTCCCTCGAAAATATATATTTTCTAATTCGGCACACTGCCTGGTATCATCAAACTTCAGTCCCCACTCCTCATGGTTCAATGTTTCCATGTCATCCGGTATCATTCAATATGAATAGGGAGTAATGATGCGCAAAGTCCATAGAGAGTTCGATTTTTGAGATTGGAAAAATGGGCTGCAGTGGATGGTGTAGCCTGAAATCTGAGAGCCTTTGCAGTATGCTGCTATTCTACAGAGGAAGAGCCAAGTACGTGTTTTTTTATTGTACCAATATGATAATAAGAGACAGACTTCAGAACTACATGCTTAACAATGCGATCTTTCATAAAATATAAAAGACAGTAAAAATTTCAGAGTCAAAGGGTTATTAGTGTCTCACAAAACTCCAGAGCTTCCCCAGTTCGAAAGTATACATCTTTATGGAAATAAACAACACATGCAACAGCATGAGTTTCACATATCTTCTATGCTTGATTTGATTTCAAAACAAAACAATGCTGTTGGACCTTGAGACACAATATGATACGAATAATGATCAAACATAAGGCAGTTCCACCCTGACTGCTGATGAGACACTGAATATGAAAACCAGTCTAGAGTTTTCTTGTTTTAAACAAATGATGCATAAAGTATAAATTCACTCCCAGAAGACTGTGGCCGATGGTATGTGTAAAAATACTCGTGTATCTTTTGTGTAGCGGGGCAGATATGGAAAGTGATTACTCGAAGCATCTGAAGTTTATTATGCGAGCAAATAACCCATTGAGCAACACGGCTCTTTCTCAAGGGTGACTCAAAGGTGTATTCTCTGGTCATTTATTTGACATTCTCCACAAATGTGTAATTAATGTATGCACGTTGTAATATATATGTAGTATATGTAAATTGATACATGTTGCAAAGTACAATTCAGTCACGGCTCTAAACTGTATTGATAAGACTGATGATTGGTGTGTCGTCACTGGCTTCACAACGTCAGAGACTGGATGGGCTATAACCAGCTGATCTCCGAGGGCGAGGGCCAGGCAAGGAGGAGGTAGAACACACCTAGAGCTGTCCGCGCAGTGACCGTGGGGGATGAATGGATACAGCTATCACTGTATTTCCATGATGATGAGGATGTCTGACAATTGACATGGTTTTGTAAACAATAGGGAAAAGTAAAGCAAACACTTTGCAAATGCCCCCCAAAGTTGCTTATGTAACGTTTCCATTTTCATAACAAACTAAATAACTCCCCGTAGAATTGGTCAAAATAATGGCCCAGTCTGACATTTACAAGCCATTACACACACACATTGAACAAAGCTATTCAAAAAAATGGACACTCATTATGTTTCTATGGGAATATTCTGACATGCCTCTGGGGAACTTATGAAGCTGCGTAAAATATAATTAGTACGTTTATAGCAGTTGGGAAATGTTTGTGTGTGGGCACAAAATCCCTGCGAGCTGCCTCCCAGCATTGGAATAATTTGGCATCACCGTAACCCACCTACAAAATGAGATTTGATGATAAATTTCAAACGTACCCTTAAGGTTATTACACTTGCGGCACCGTGATGAAGGATAAACAACACAGGCTGCACACTTCAAAACACTGTAATGACGTGATTACTCATTTATTTTCGGTGTCTTTGAAGTGTGACATCCTAGGGTTTTTGTTGCTGCCTTTTTGCCGAAATGTATTATTGATGTTCAGATGCTAGTCAGGGCCAAAGCACCGATGGAAGTGCCTCGTGGCAGTCATTTCTATGCTCGTGGCAGTGAGTTATGTTGTGTGTTGGTCAAAGTTACATTCACATTATTATTTATGCATTACTTTGTTAACAAACACAGCTTTGGAAATGCCCGTCGTACATTCTGGTTGCCAAATAGATTATTTTTTATCTTGATCTGTTCAGCAGTTCCACTGTAATATAGAGTTCCACTGCTGAACAGATCAAGATTCAGCAGTTCCACTGCTGAACTACATATTTATTCCGCCTGAGGACGACCGCTTGTGTTGCGATCGAAACGTCGTGATTTATTGTATTTTATACCTACGTGACTATACCTAAAGAACCAAATACTCTATTTAAAATACTCAGTGCTACCACATCCTAAAAAAAACGTACATGGCACATTTTGACACTTATGCACAGCATGACTTAATTGTGGAGTTCAGATCTCTATATTACAATATAAATGAGGCTAATAGATGTTGATTCTTTTACAAAATGCTGAATGTACCCTCCGGCTCAAATTGCATTCAAAATATATATTTTATTTAGTAATTTCTATGTAAAGCGCAGCAAGTTTATGCAGATATAATTACCGTGACAGAAGACGCCACACGTACTTTTTGAGACACCCGTAGATGAATTGAGCAGTAATTGTGAGCTCCGTGGTCTCTATCTTGTTATTATAAAGGTGCAATGCGCATCTGTCAAAATGATCACTCCATCAACTTAGCGCTGCGACTTCCTCAGCCACTTGATTACCTCTCCATCACCGTTCCCGAGAAACCACTGATACCTATGATTGACTCATCCAGAATGCACCCGATCTTGTTGGACCTTAGAAGCCAAGCAGGGTTTTGCCTGGACATTGCATGCATGGGTGACCGCCACGCGTGATGGGTTGTTATAGGCCGTTGTGGAGCTATACGGCGTGTGCAGCGTAGGGCAGTGCAGCAACATTCATTGTTGTACTGTGCACTCACTGTCTGTGCTCCCCGCCTTGAGACCAGCACGGTGAACTATGGTCAAACAATCCCCACGCCCCGCACTTTCAAATCCGCGGCAGGGTGCGATATTGATGCATGGGCTGTACATGTGCCGCTAAGAGTTACGTCACAAATTCATATGGCATCTCTTCTGGAAATCCAACAAAACACCAAACCTCTCATCACGCGAATATCAGAAAGCTACTTCAGAAGACGCTCCTATGGGTTTCTCTACACCACGGCCCGAGGATTTACTTGCCGAATGCCATTCATTTGATATTGTTTTAACCGCCTCTCTTATATACATTACACATATACAATTAGCGGTACAATACTGAAGCTGTGTGCCAGTCTGCATTCTATACAGTATGTACATGTATTTATAGTATGCACAAGCGTTTTATATGCTAATATGTACCCGCACACAAATGCACACGCGCGCACACACACGCGCACAGAAATACATTACGTTGTATATTTCAGGAAACAGTACAACATTGTCCGGTGCGTTAATCCCAGTACCATGCACGGCCAGATCTGTGGCATACCTGCAAAGCGATGCTCCGCCGCTCGCAAATGCGACGCGAACGCCAATTCCATTCTCCCGCACCGCGGGGACAGGGCGAATTCCTGCACATCACCAACTTTTTTCGCAGCAACCCACCCACCAATTACGGCCCAACCGTTAAGCCCAGCGAACGCAGTGATCGCGACGCGGCACCTGCGCGTGAGTAAACCACGCTCCACTGCCCTCTGCGGAGTGCGGAATGCGAGATGCTGGCGCGTTGTCCCCGAAGCGGAGAACGGCGCCGGCGTGCCGAAAATTGCCACCGCACGACCACGGGCAGAGCGGCCTCGTATTACGGATCACCCCCTTCTCCTGCAATCCTCTGAATCATCATGTGTGTTCATAAAAAGTGTTGGGCTCGGTTATATCCAAAACGATTTGTTTGCAATGAAATTTATTGCAGACTCCGAATGAAATTTTTAACTACACGCATCTGTGTCTTGAACATAAAATGTGTATTATTTGTTAATGAGCACGTTTGTTCTTGACTTGAACCTCAGTTTTCAGACTGCGCGTAACTTGCTGTGGAAAGGCACCAGAGCGCACACACACACCAATGTCCACCACCAAACCCTGCTCAATGCCAGTGGTGACAACCCCCCTACGTTACTCGTTGTTGAAGCACAGGTGAAGTATGGCTCTCAGCACAAAGATCCCCCGTATAGCCTGAACAGACCGTTGAAGGAAGTGCTGTTACCGGTCACCTATGAAGGCCGGCACGGCACACGAGGGGGCGGGTGGACAGCACCACGCCCGGCCGCCTTTGTCTCCAGAGTAGCTATGTTTACACATAGCACCGGGAACTCATTTGAGGCTGAGTGGACCTAGGGAAGGCCCATGACTGGTTCAGATAATGATCACCGGTGGTGGCCACGAGCAGGAATCGAACTCTGGTCGTCGGGTTCGTAGTGCAGCGTGCTAACCGTGCCAACACTACCGCTCTCAACACAGAACAGTGTTTGACAAACAGTGCTTGAAGATTATATATTTTTTTTTACTGGATTTTGTGAACAAAGTGAGATTTAATGCATTTCTACATTACAGTCCATCTCTTAGAATGGCACAGCTTGTCCTCGTGACGTGAATCAGAGTGAAAAGTAGGCTCCAAGGTTATATTGTATTTCCAGAAACCATTGACACTCACTCCCCGACGGCTTCATAACCACTTTCAGCGTGTCAAATGTACGACTTTCCCTGTCAGTGGCGGTGTGAGTACAAACGCCAGGCTAGAGATTACTTTGAAACACGTTAACTTGTACTGAAGCAACTAGCGGTGGATTTATGGGAACACCATGGCCCGGTTAAGAGTGTGGGTCCAGAGGACATATGGATCAGAAAAAAAAGCGGTTAGCCAGAAAGAGGATAAAAAAACTCAAGTGTCACAGTAACTCTACAGGCACCTCCGATTAGCATGGTTGGCTACGTACGGTGCGAAAGGTCAAAATACAGGGCTATGCATTTCAACATCCTTCTTTGTAATTCTTACATTCTCCCCTTTACCATCTTCTCCACTCGTTAGCTCCAACGACATTGCTAATTAATTCAATATCAGTTGCACATGAATGCCATCGTGAGGTCAAGGGTAAATGCAATCTGGGAGTTGAACTTAAAAGACCAGCTGGCAATGAGGTTTATGGGAAAGTAAATTGACGAAACACACATTTATTTTCCCTTCAATGTTTCTGCATACGAAAGGCCGATGCACAAATGTAGGACAGGGCAACTGCCGTTTGAATTTTCACACACTTGATTTTGTGACCGATTTTCAACGTCACGTGTTTTTCACGACTCCACTTTTGGAACACGTCTAAGATAAAATGCGTGTAAAAGGTCAAAGTGCAGCCCTGGAAATATCTCGCTCACGCCACCGCTAAGCGTAACGGCCTCCACCAGATGGAGTTCTTGAGGAGCCCCTCTGGAGGATATATTAGCCTACTATTCTATGCTGGCCAGTACCTACACTTTATCCCACCAAACGCGACATTGTCGAGCAACTCACTGTGGTGTATCCACTAATGCTGATGGATGAATAGAGATGCGGGCATGCAGGGAAATGAAGAAACCTGCCCATTGTTTCAACTGCCACGCTCGGAGATTGAATCGGTGACCTCTGGATTGCAAAATCCAGTGTGCAAACCACTGCAAATACGACAGCGTCCCCGAATATTGTGTAACCTTGAGAAATGTCTGCATTCGAACAGCCGCAGTGTACCACCTGCGACACAATCAAGGTACAAATGGAGGAACCATGGAGCCGTTCTCACAGGTTTCCTCAACCACACGCAACCGGAACCGCTCTCAAGTGCAGGGCCAATGAATGGCTTAGAAAGCCCGTGTAATCAAGCACGTTCTCATGTCAAACTTTACATGCCTCGTTCATTGAGTCATAAGGGGCTTGATTCCCAGGACTTTTTCACCTGGTTTTGGGACAAAAAGTACCACTTTTTCCCTTAGAAAAGGGGCCGCTTTTTTGCCCACTATTTGACAACCAAAAAAAACAGGCGGTCTTTCACCAACATGGAAATCGAGCCCCACATACTGTAGCAAGTTCAACAGAATGTGGTCACTGAAAGGCGGTCGTTTTAATTAAAAAAAGAGGCTTAGATCCACCCGCTTTAGCAACACACTCGAGGCCCTTTCTATTGAATCACAAATAGCCGTCCCTTACAAAGGCTGACAATACCCACAATGCTCGTCTTTTAAGCGATGACCTATGGTAAATTCAGTTGCTCCCGTATATCGATTCCACATTTTATATGCAATATCAAAGCGGCTTTTCCATTTGGCGTCCTTAAATAAATATTGACCAAATTATGCACACCCCCCTGCCCCCGCCAAACAAGACTATCAAATCCATGAGCACATCCAAGAGAGAAGGCAGCAGCTTCGTAGAATTCGTACAATCGTTTAGCATATGTAATGATATGCAGCAAGAACTCGAACACCCTCCAATGGCCACATTGGATGGATCAAAACATGCTAACCACGCGCTTTGTAAGCCAATGTTAAGCAGTCCATATTTAATGCAAATGAAAGCAACCTTTGAAAAATCATCAAGAGAAACATTAACAGAATATAGGCCACATTTAAATATGCTAGTTTTTTTTTCCAGTGCCCCTAATCTGCATATGATTTTATATGCACAAATAAATGTTTTCGTTAATCTTGTGTAACGTACATAGATATAATAAGTGTATGGTTTATTGTGTTTTTAAATAACTCATTTAGAGTTGTTATTACCAGTGGATTTAATTTGAATGATCATTCGTATCACTGTATTCATGTTCAATAATATATCCTATGCAACATGCATGGTCAGTTGCTAGGCAAAAAAATAAAATGGCAACCAGTATGTGAATGCACTTCCCTGACCTCCATAAGAATTAACTTCAAACTGTGCCTTAAGGGTGTTAGAGAACAAATCATGACTGCTTTTTCATCACAGGGCAATAACTTTTATTTCCTTGGGCTGCAAAATTGACCTCTATTGTTCAATAATTCCTCCCACCCTCTGATTAAGACATTACATCACAACTTGGTAAGCGTTCTTAAGGCCGGAGGAAATACTTTGCTACTATACCCCATCAAAAGCAATTGCTGTGTAATACATCAACGGGAGCTTGAGGAGCTGAGCATGAAAATCAGGCCTGGGAAAGGGGGGACAGAACGTTGAGAGCAACTCTTCGATGTGTTTTCGGGTTGTGCCGCGCGTTGTTCGGCATGGTGCCCGACGTTTTTTCTCCGGGTGGTACGACCCAAAAACACAGCGGAGACTTACAGTGCACAAACCGTGAAAACCTCAGCCGTGGAAACGCGCACAACAGGCTGGGTGGGCGCCACGCTCTCGCCCTTACAGACTGCGCCTCACAGCACTGTGCGTGGGGCATTTTTCTTTTTAATTTTGTGAACCATGAGTGAAACTTTGCAACAAGGCATTTCGTAGGACTGTCAGGTCAACAAAACCAAATGTACGGATAAACCAGTAAGAGTCAATCCTTCGCTTCGAACGGGGTTTCATGAACTCGATTTCTCTAAACCCACCATGGTGCGTCTTTCCAACTTTACCAACCCAGTAAACATTGGGCCTATGTTGGCCGAACAGTTCCAACCGCATGCCAACATATGCCCAAATGTCATGTTTACTGGGAATCTACCTCCATTCAGTGAGACAGCTATCGTTTCCAAGTGCACATGGTGCACATGGTTGCTATACAAGTCCTCCTGCGTGCTGTACAGCATTGATCCAAACTAAGTTGGAGATATTGTTTACATGTGTGTGTAACCCATATGATGTACACAGCACCGATTCAAATTAATCAGTGTTCTCCATAGCAATCATCTGGTGCAGGCACCACGCAATGACTTCATTTGTATTCGATGGAGGTAAAGTGGTAAATTTGCAGACATATTTTGTGGCGAGTCGGGAGAAATGGTATATGGGAAATCCTACAATGGGGATTTAAATAATTACTCTCGCAAGAGACTAATCAACAGTGGGCCAAAGCCATTTAAAACATTCGATATGCATGCGCCATACGACACCATCTCAACTTCTCTCCAACCTCCGGCAAACTTGCAATCCGAACACAATTCAATGCATTTCAGCTTCAACAACGTGTGGCGTATCTGATAGAGAAGCTAGGGTTCACCGGGTAACGGTGAGAGACATTTGCAGAGAAGAGCGCTACAGGTACAAAGCTGCCCTCACAATGCCATTATTTGAACTTTTTTTTTCCCAGCGATTTGCCATTCACCACTGCTGCTTTGAGCACAAGATTTTCCAATGCAAAGCCATTGCTTATATATATAATATCCATGCGCACAAATGCCCATTAAGCCTTAAATGTTATAAAAGTGTATATTTGTATTCATTTTATTTAAATAGCATTCAGAAAATGTGAATCATTCCCCGACGTATTGTACGATGCAACGTAACTCGGTGAATGATAACTAACAAATAGGTAAAGTTTGTACAAAATAGTTTGTGCTTTTGCCGTAGAAGTTGACGTTCAATGCCAGCAAGCTGGAGGCTTTCAGAACGTCAGAGCCCTGGATGCCAATGTCGATGCTTCTCCCCCCCCCCCCCCCCCCCGTTGCTGCTGTCTGTAGTGCGCCATTAGAACCCTCACGTGATCAGTTGCAACATTAAGTTCACCAGGGCTAACCAAAGCTCACCTCGGACATCATCCCGGTGCCCGAAATCTGCAGCAACACTGCAGCACACGGGTAACCTGAATGGGTCCGACATACACACGTACACCTGCACGTATTGTCACTGCGGCACAAGCAACACAATTTGTGTTGCCCTCTGCGACTAGCAACAACATCCCGTCGTCCTTAGCATATGTACATCTGTTCACCAATGGCACTAGGTCAGTCCAATAAAACACACGTACACACGCACTCACGCACAAGTGTAACAATGCAGCCATCAAAGCCACACATATAATGGCATAAATATGACGGGGCTGTGAAGGAAGTGCATCTTCTGATATGACCGTCAGTGATGCTCTTCCAGAGGCCCGGTGTTCAGGATGATTGCCCAGATCTTTTCTATTGAAATCCACAGGTTGTCCCCTCCATCACTATCGTACCACTCATCCCTAGCTCCGGATCCCACGGACCTCGATCCACAAAGGCTACAAGAGGCGACTCGCCGCCACCTCCGTATCGACCACCACCAGCTCCCATGTGATCCTCCAGGTATCGGCATGCGATCCGTAGAAAGATCCTCGCGGGGGGAGTGGCGACAATGGGGCAACCGTGCAGATCAGCCCAAGCGCCTGGGAGTCTCTTTGTGCGAGCGAGCGAGGAAGCTCCGAACACCGTCACTCCATGGTTGGGTAGAGGACGGACACCGCAATGCCAACCACCATGGCCATCAGAGGCAGCCAACCGGCCCAGGCCTTCTGCTGCAAAACAGAGAGAGAGAGGGGGGGGGGGGGGTCGAGGTTGACACAGAGACACCGCGAAGCAAAGGCATTAAGGTTTAAAATAGGTTGCAAGTGCTTACATTTTTACAGCAAAAAAAAAGAGTGCCTTTCAAAAAGGGCAAAACATACGAGGCAGTTGAGGCCTTTTTTCATTGTAAAGGGGTCCTATTTCACGTGTAAACGTTTTCCAAAATATACGAGATGAATTTAAGTTGAAATGAGACTTGGGCAAATGTTGGCTGCTCCGGGGCTGAAGTCGACGGAGTAGTTTCACTACTTACCATCATCTCAAAGTTGTGTGGGTCAGTTACAACTTTCACCTTGTATAATATAAATACTAAATGTGATAAGACATCCAATGAACAAAAACACATTCTGAAACAAAAATCAACGTAATCACGCGTGCGATGTTTAAATCGCGCGAACAAAAACAAAAACCGAGATTTGTATATGCGTTCATATTTATTTTGAATGAGAGCTCGTGACTGAACGGAAAGGCAACTTAAAATCAAGAAACAAAACGCCGAAACAATGAATTCATGTGGGTGTCGACCACCTTCGGATATCGGTTCAGTCCATTTTAGTTACGTTCTGCGATTGCAGGTCACCGTCGAAAGGAGCAATGTGGGTGGACGGCAATGTTGACTTTAAATGACACGTGCAAGTCAGCGGACACCACATTTGATTTTCGTGAAGTCAAAACAAGAACAACTTGTAATAAAACATGTAACAAAAAAAATATCGGGCATTATAACGAAGCGAAAAAAGTCATTTACAGCCCCTTCTCAACCCATTGTTGGATGCGCGTCCCCCCGTACCGTGCCGCTGATGGTAGTTGTTTGACCATACTTCACCACGCCGGTCAGTGTGGGTTTGTGCAGTGAGGGCCAAAGGCAGATTCGGACATCAGTCACCACCGATGTTAGGCACGGCCAGGAATCGTACTCAGGTAGCCGGGTTCATAGCGTAGTGCGCTAACCACTGTGCACTCTTTTGGCGTGTACTCTTTTGGCGTGTAAGTTCAACTTAGATCCCACCGCACGTAGCCAACCGTGATAATCGGATGTGCAAAAATCGCACCTCGCGCAGTGGTTAGTGGAGGGTGTTTCTATGCAGTGCTCCACTTTATATAACAAACAAAGAATTAAAACAGTCATCATAACACTGCGGCCTTGTAAGAATACATTAATAACAGATGACGTTTTGGGCAATGGCCCTACTCCATTGAACATAAACACTGTTTAAAATGTGTGGAGAAACAGGACTAGCCCTGGGATATATTTACAAAAGATCACGCCATTTAGTTAACATAAAAAAAGATAACTTTATACAGGTGATCTTTAGAAGCCATTGTTAGAGGCAGCCATAAAATAACCAGTTGCCGCTCGGCCAGGGGCTGCTTTAAGGTTTATTGTTTGCACGACATTCGCTTTGAATTAAAATCTCATTCCCACGTTTCATTCCACTCGTCTGTTGCGTCCGTCGCTCGCTGGGTCTGGGTTCCTGAGCACGGCTCCTCCCTGCTGTTGACTCAGCTTTGGAAAAGCAAGCCCCCCCCGCCCCCCCCCCGTGACCTCCTCCTCGTGGGAGGAGGAGAGGAGGCTGAGGAGGAGCAGCCAAGACGATGCTTTAAGCAGGCCTCGCCACAAGTGGTAAGACTTTGAAGAAGGTTCAGGGCATTCGTTTATTTTGTTGCTCTCTCTTCCGTGCCAGATGCAAGGCTGGTAAAGTTCGCAATCTATAAAATAATGGAGAGTTCGACGAGCGTACTAACGCTCGCATGGCACCGTTCATTGTACTAGCATGCACTTTGTGATCCAGGGACGAGGTGGTGGGATTGGTGGATCATGAGAACGGCATTGATGGCAGTACAGCAAGTAGGTTGTCAATCTGTGCGAATCTAAGAGTAGTCCTCAAAAATACTCGATGAGGAATGGCACAAACATCACTGGCCGGACAGGTTCTCAAATTTTTTTTTTTTAATCCGTAGTTAGTCTAGTCTGTGTTAAAATATTTACCTTTAATTAACTTTTCTACTTTTTACTCAGCGCCACATGTAGAATACAAACAAAAATAATGGAAAAACGTGCACGCACACGTTTACACACACAAATAATATATATAATCCCACAGGAGCTTTTGAGGCAAGTGCTGTTGGCAAGTAGCAATGAAGGCCCGCACGGCATACGAGGGGGGGGGGGGGGGGTGGCCCGAACACCGCACTAGGAACTCATTTGACGCAGAGGCGATCTAGGGGAGGCCCAGGGCTGGTCCAGATATTCGTCACTGGCGTTGGCCGTGAGCCGGAACCCGGGTACACAGTGCATCGCACTAAACTCCCATTCCCCACACGCACGTTCACACGCACACAGATGCGTGTGCACAGATACACACACGCGCGTAAGCAGCCCCCACCCCCCCCCCCCCCCCCCCCCATTCTGGCCGTTTCTGATGGTGAACATGAACAGCGTGGCATCGATTCCGAGCGCTCCGATAAAAGCATCATCATCGCGTAGCGAATAGTTTGCCCGATCACTTGCAGCGACCGCGGCCCGAGAGGCAGCATGCTGCTTCAGGAATTGATACGAAGCGCACGGTGTTTGGCTAACCTCCACGCGGTGGTTAAGGGCGCTGTTTCGGCCGTGCCACAGATAACACCCGAGACTCAACCACAGGGTCTGCTGCACGTCACTCCGAATGTTCGCTGTTCATCATTAGGTTGGCACCAACACAGTTATAATAAGAAATAATTAGCGATGCCCAGCTCCGTGCGGTGGAAATCCCTCGTTCATAATCTAGGCTGGTGTGTCACCACGTGCAGTGTCCATAAAGCATCTAATTTGGTGTGTCACCACGTGCAGTGTCCATAAAGCATCTCATTTGGTGTGTCACTACGTGCAGTGTCCATAAAGCATCCCATTTGGTGTCACCACGTGCAGTGTCCATGAAGCATCTCATTTGGTGTCACCACGTGCAGTGTCCATAAAGCATCTCATTTGGTGTCACTACGTGCAGTGTCCATGAAGCATCTCATTTGGTGTCACTACGTGCAGTGTCCATAAAGCATCCCATTTGGTGCCACCACGTGCAGTGTCCATAAAGCATCTCATTTGGTGTCACCACGTGCAGTGTCCATAAAGCATCTCATTTGCTGTCACCACGTGCAGTGTTCATAAAGCATCTCATTTGGTGTCACCACGTGCAGTGTCCATAAAGCATCTCATTTGGTGTCACCACGTGCAGTGTCCATAAAGCATCTCATTTGGTGTGTCACTACGTGCAGTGTCCATGAAGCATCTCATTTGGTGTGTCACCATGTGCAGTGTCCATAAAGCATCTCATTTGGTGTCACCACGTGCAGTGTCCATAAAGCATCTCATTTGGTGTCACCACGTGCAGTATTTAATTTTAACTGCGCCGCCACGAATTTTTGAAAAATTAACGGTTGCATCACGTAGAAATTCACTTTTATTGCGCACTAGCAGTTGTACCCGTTCTTCGCGCGGAAATTAATAGTTTAGTCCTAGCTTCAAGTTTATTCAATGAACGAATATAGATGATGATGATGATGTTGCATGGCTCTTTGCTTTACCCGAAAAACAACACGTGGAGGTGACCATGGAGTGAGGCGCCACCTAAAGTCTCCCGGCACGCTGTTAACAGCTCTAGAACTAAGTCGCACGAAGAGCCGTATGGTAGGAGTAAGCATTGCAGACCGCTTAACTGAGGTGTGTTGCGGGTTGATGCCACACACTTAATGGTCATTTCCCCCCTCCCGCCCCCCAAAATACAAAAGTTTATTTTTTTATACTTTTTTATATTGTGCTCGCCCAGGACTTAGATTCTTGCCTTGGATCAATTTAACATTCCCTTAAATTTCACTGAAAAAAACCCAGAAAAAAATGTGATGCTTGTAAGCAAGAAAAAAAAAGCCGAAACAAATAAATTTAACTAAATCGGATGTTTTTTCACTCAAGGAAATGCAACCTTAACCCACTTCTACGTAAGGTCGATTTTGGCAACTCGGTAACAGAATGACGTGGAGAGCTGAAAATAGTCGCGTTCACGTAGAAATTGCAGACAGCAGAAGCTGTGCACATGTCATGACGTCAGAGCTCAGCGTTGGAGAGTTTTTGCTGCAGGTTGACGCCACACACTTCATGGTCATTTCACCCCCACCCCCCCCCCAAAAAAAAATACACAAGTCTATTTTTATACTTTTTACATTGTGTACAGTATGGGAGCAACCCACAGGCCAAATTGCAAGTTTGTAGCATGTTGGTAAGTATGCTAAACATATCCAACAGACACCCATATCTACAAATTTACCTTTTATTATTGCGCATAAAAGCCGAGCGTAACGTGTTGTAAAAGCCGAGCGTAACGTGTTGTATGCACATGCATGTTGAACTGCTATCGCACCGCACGTGCATGTTAACGGCAGTGAGAGAATGTGTCCGTAAACAGTCGCTGGCTATTGTTACATCGTCCCTGTGCGTCTATTACCCGAGCGATGATTCAAGAACCCCAAATCGCCAGCCGGACTATTCTGCCAGCGATGCCAAACGGACGTCTTCCTCCTGCGTCTGTTTGTGCAGCGCTGCGAGCGGCGTACCTCGCTTGCACGTGTGACCTCATTTCATCACTCAACGTCTCCATGGTGGCCACCCCCCCCCCCCCCAGAGACAGCGGAGAGGATCTCATTAATACAAGCGCTGCAATGGGCATCTGTTAAGAAAAAAAGTTTTTTTATCGGTAAATGCACCGTTGTTTTTTTGCGCATAGAGGTTGCTCATAAAGTAAACGCATTGCAAAGCCGGTAGGAGAACGAGTAAAATGAATGCTCGCAGGCAATGAAGGATGACCTTGCAAAAAAAATAACAAACCAAGTTTTTTCGTAGCCGATACAATGATCCACATTTCAGCTGCGATCCGAGTTCATTACCCGATGACGCTCAAAGCAAATTGAGCGAACCATC